TAGAGAGAACCTTCCAATCTTCGAGTTTAAGGAACTCAAAATATGGTCAATTGTTTACAGCTTGATTGGTGTTAATTGGGTAATTGCGGGTTCTATTAACAATGAACTTTTGGCTTGAGAGGTTCTTGTGTCGAACAATCAAGCGGCTCGACTTTTTTCCACTAACAATTTTTTTAGTTATTTGGAAAAAAAGAAACAATAGGGATTTTGAGGGAATTGAAAACATGTTTGTAAATATTAAGATAGGTGGCTGTGTTATTTTGGCTCCGTACTTTTGGAGCATAACTTACTTTCTTTTGATGATATTGGAGTTGTTCTTGATATGCTCATTGATGTGTAAAGTCTTTTTGTAAATGGATGATACTCCCTTGGTACTTTTTTTTTTTACTTTTGTTCACTTATATCTCAAAAAAAATGAAGTCAAAATGTGTTTAAAGAAATTTTGCTTATTTATTTTGTTTATTTTTTTTCCATAAATACTGTAGAAGAACAGAAAGCTTTAGGAACTATACGGTGCAGAGTACTAACGACCTACTAGCGGAAAAGAACTAATTTCTGCATGTGATAATTTGAAGAAACTGTAGTGTTATTGTGCCTAACTTAACTGTATAAAACACTGAACTGGATTTACCATCTAAACTGCAGAAAAAATGTACTGTCTAATATAAAAGCTGCATGAAATACTAAACATAATTGATTCATCAACTACCTTCTATTGGATTATTGTCTCTCGCTGGTCAACGACTAGCATCATTCTTCTCCTCAAGGAGGTGTTTGTCCCCAAGTGCAAAAGAAGGGCAAAGAGAAGACTTAAAAGTCGCTCCTCCATTTATATAGGATCTTTAGAATTGAGTATTTTAGAGTCATTGTAGATATTCTCACTGACTTGTAAATCTTTTATACATGGACGGCACTCCCTTGGTGCCTTCATTTAATATGCTATTCACACTTTTTATCTCAAAAGAAAAAAAAAACTCCCTCCAACCAGGAAATTCTTTTTACATTGATGACCAAGAACAACTCTGCATCAAAATTAAAATAAATACCCTCTACATGTCTCTTCAATCCCTGCTCTCCTTAATAATTTGACTAATTGAGGCCTTCAAGTTGAATAATAGTTACTTTGTTCTCTCTAAAAAGAGAAACAAGGTAATGGTTCTGCACTCCCTACTATGTATACAAGATAGCGAAACTCATGTTAGTAGTTAGGTTATCAAGGTGCTTTAATTTCTCATTAGTAGCAGCTGGAAAAGGTCTGGACATTTTTGAGTAGCATATTTTATTATTTAATTGTTTTAGTTTATTATTTAATTAGTTGATATTATGTAATTAGAATTTTATTACAATAGTAATCTTATATACCTAGAATTCTAGTAAAATAGTAATTTCCTAATTAATAAATTAAAAATTCTATAAATATTTAAGGTGTAACTGTAGAAATTTGGGAAAAATATTTACACTTTATTTTTCTTTGCGATTAGATGTTACAATTGACTCGTATATATAAAAAACTTCCTAAATACAAATAGGAAAATTTTCTTTATAACAAAAATTTTAAATAATTATATAATTATGGAGAAAATAAATGGTAAAACTATATAAAGAAAAATATCACAGTCATTTAGGGAACAAAATATTTGTGTCAGCACTCCCCTTTAAGTTGATATAAAAATATCACACATGCTCAACTTGTATCTCAAATTCTGAAGAGTTATGTTGTAGAGTCTTTTGGTGAAGATATCGGCCACCTAATTGCTAGAAGATACATAATGTAAGCATAAGAATCTAACAACAACTTTTTTTTTTTTAATGAAGTGACGATCAATTTCAATGTGTTTTGTCTGATCATCTTGAAGTAGATTTTGAGCAATACTAATAGCTGCTTTATTGTCATAAAACAATGATAGACTTTTTTCTTTAAACAATTTTAATTTATTCATTAGTTTTTGCGCCGATAATAATTCACATACTTCTTGAGCCATTGCTTTATATTCTACTTCAGTAGTAGAACGAACAACTACACTCCGTTTCTTATTTTTCAATATAACCAAGTTGCTCCAACGAGTGTACAGTAACTGGTAGTTGACTTTCTATTATCAGGAGATTCAGCCCAATCGGCATTTGTAAATGCTTCAATCTTAAGGTAGTCATTTATGGAGAAAAGTAAATATTTTCAGAGTGCAGATTTCAGATATTGTAGTATTTGAAAGACGACATATAAATGAGTCTCACAAGAATCATGTATGTACTGACTCATCAAGCTAACTGCATATGCTATATCTGGTATGATATGTGATAGATAAATGAGTATTCCAACTAATCTCTAATATCTTCCAATATCAACTGATGTCTACTAGCTGCTTGTATTTTGTGATTACTTTTAATAGGGGATTCGGCTGACTTGTAACCCATCATATCAATCTCTTCTAACAAATTTAGGATATACTTTCTTTGAGAGATAAAAATTTCTTTATTAGATCTAACAATCTCAATTTTCAGGAAGTACTGCAATTTTTCAAGATTCTTAATTTCAAATTCTCGAGTAAGAAATCCCTTTAATCGAGTCATCTCTTTTGTATCATTTTCAGTCACCATAATATCATCTACATAAATAATGAGAAGAGTGATCATACCTTTACAATGCTTGATAAATAGAGTATGATCAGTATTACTCTGCTGATATCCGAAAGAAATCATAACTCTTCTGAATCTTTCGAACCATACTTTTGGAGACTGCTTTAATCCATACAAGGTCTTCTTTAATTTGTAAATCTTCTCTTGTGCTCTTTCATCTTCAAATTCAGTTGGAATTTTCGTGTATATCTCATCCTATAAGTTTCCATGGAGAAAGACATTTTTTATATTAAACTGGTGTAAGTCACAATCAGGATTAGTAGCACAGGATAGTAATATTCTAATTGTGTTCATTTTTGCGACAGGTGCAAAGGTTTTCTGTTAGTCAACTCCATAGGTTTGAGTAAACCCTTTAACCACTAGTCTAATTTTGTATCTTTCAATTGATCCATCTGCTTTGTGTTTTATAGTGAACACCTACTTGCAATCAACCATTTTCTTTCTTTGTGGAATTGAAATAAAGTCCCATATTTCATTTTTTATCAATGCTCTCATTTTTTCAATCATCGCTTCCTTCTATTTGATATCTTTTAGAGTTTTTCTCTCATCCTGTGGAATAAACGCAGAAAAAACAAATAAGACAAGACTCTATAGGAGAGAGATGGAGAGTCATAGAAACAAAGTTAAGACATAATATGCTTA